GAGCAGAAGGGGTATTTCGAATGCAAAACTGTTTGGGTTGATTTCCATAAACAAACATTTGTTGGGCGAAGTTTCATAGAATCAAGATTAGAAGATTTTTCAAAGAAACTAATTATATATCTGTAAGACACTTTTTCCCCGACCAAAAAAAAGGAAAACATACATGTAAATGTACACACCAAAAGAAATAAAAAAGATCACTGACTGAGCGCGGCATTTGTATGGAAAAACTAGCTTGATTAGTTTAGCTTCAGTTTCGAGAGTCGAGAAGGCAAGCAAAGTTTAAGAAAAGAGATGTATTCCGAACAGAAGCGAGTTTTCCGTCCCGTCCACCTATCATTATTTCGAGTAAATACAAAAATCTTCAGGTGAAATAACGGACATAGTTTGTTAAAGAAAAAAAAAACTTAAAGTTAAAGCTCGAATGTTTAAGACTTGTGTTATTAAACTCACAGTTCTACTGGCATTCCAAAAGGCCACAATTTCCCTGTTATGAACAGTTTGTCAAGCTGGGCTTTGCTGAAAGCTGCGGGAATGTTGTTGCGTCTTGCCTTTTTGAAGGTTTCCATCTGCGCTCTCCTACGTTCGACGATCTCAAACGGAAGATCTTGGTACATTTTGTAGTTTGTTCCTCGTAGACGATGTCCCAGCGAAAGAAGCTTTTCACAGTCCTTATATCGTAGGAATCTAGCAAGTATGGGTCTTGAACTTTCTCCTCTCTTTTTTCCTAGACGATGAACTCGCTGTATTTCAACATTGGCAGCGTCGCCAAAACCCAATTCCGTTTCCAGAAAGGTGCGCAGCGCCATTTCCGTGTCCTCTTTGTTCGTTTCTTGTTCTGGAATGTTTTCAAACTTAATGTTTTCGCGCCTAGAATATGCTTCCAGATATAAGTTCTTATCCTCGATCAGTTTAAAATTGGCACGGAGTTCATCATTCTCTTTCTGTAGGGCCGCTAGGCTCGATTTTGTGCTGTCTTCGAGCTTTTGTATTCTCTCGGACGTCGTCTTTTTATCTGTTTCGTTTCCGTTTAAACTTTCCTTAAGATCTTCAACATCACGCTTTGTGGTAGCGTACCCATCTTCGAGAGTATGTATTCTTCCTTCTAACTTCCCGAAAGACTTCCCGAACTTATTCATTGCTTCTTCGATGGCATCCAGCTTTTCAAGCTTCTTAAGAATATCTTGCAGTGGTTTTTGAAGGCCTTCAGCCGTATTCAGACCCGATAGAATAATATCGTCACCTTCTTCTTCGCGTTCGTCTTCGGAAGAATTAGAACTATCACACTCTTTAAGTTTCTTTGGTTCTGGCGAGGTACCTAGAGAACTATCGGAGGATAGCTGTCTTGTTCTTCTTTTACTTAGCAACAGCTTAAAAAATTCTCCCATTAAATCATCCACGGCAAAAGAGTAGTGTTATTAGGCGGACGGTCTTTCGGCACGTCTTCACATCGCCATTGCTTCCCAGTCTCCACTCACTCTTACCGTCTCTCGCACTGGAAGTTTAAAACCAATGGGGTGTTCAGACACTAATTAGCTTCAGCAGTCGCCCTTCAAAAAGGCTCCGTAATTATTTCTCGGTTCAGTTTTCTGAGAGTATCACAACAACAACAACAACCGCCAAGAAAACCTTTTCTTTATTTTCTTTATTCAGGCATTGAAGGTGCCTTCTATGAACCAGGTTCAAAAACAGTCATTCCCAGAAAGGTGCGTACGTGTTGCTTTTGTGCTTGTTTACGGTATTCCAATCAGGTGGCCGATACTTTGCTAACTGCATCAGGTAGATAAGCTTGGATACCATTGCTACGATTGACGACTACGCGAATCAGTTTAAGATACTTTGTGTTAAGCCTTAAGTGGAAAAAGCCTTTGAGCCACATGTGCAGTCAACTGCGTTTTTAGCTTATTGCTTTTTTGCAGGCTTTCAGGAATTGTGGTCGTTTCGCCCGGACGAGAGTTCGCCCGATGAAAAACAGCACTCTACAACACGGCTTATCAGAGATGCTTTTAGTTAAGCTTGGATTCTATCGCTGCGATTGCTAAAAAAAGCTCGAGCGATCTGAACGAACTTATTGATCTCGTTAAGCACATTCGAGATACTGAAACTGACTGTACATAAAAACTGAAGCCGGTCTATATTTACCTCAGCGATTGCGACGATCGCTACGTCGATCTTTCATATGTATTTTGTGTGAAGTTTTCACTGAAAAAAGTTGTCGATCCACATGTGCAGGCACTGTCATTCACACTTTTTCAGTTTTTCAGGCTTAAAGAACGACAAATAAACATCGGGCGAATCGACTTACGTCCGGGTGAATCAACCTCGCGCGAAACGCCCTGTTACCACTTCAAGAATGACAAATACTGTACTCATCGGACAAATCCTCTTAAGTCCGGACGAACTGCTGCTGGGTGAAACGACCCTTGGGCTAAACGAACTGATACCGATCAAATTATTTATTGTGCTACAATCCCCCCACCATCGCATACCATAGTTTCTATTGAAACTAACCCCTTCATGTTTTTGTAGGTGGTTGGAAAGTTTTCAATCCGTTTAGTACCTAATATGACACCTGAAACCGTCAAGGAACAAGTTTTGAAATACATCAGGGAACCTCATGAAAAAAGAGGAAGCCTAAATACTCTAAAGTAAGTAATAAGCCTTTAAAATTTCGTGAAAGAATTTCAAGAAATTCTGGCCGCTGTTTTATGGAAGATGAGCTGTGAAAACAGCTTAGCTTGTAACACACTTGTTTCACACCTGCGAAATTTTATCATTTTGTTAGCTGCCTTTATCGCTTTATGAATACCTCGGCCGCTTTCCTATATCTAGCGAAATTTGTCATATGGCGTTGCGAGTTATTGACGCCTGTTCAAAAACTTGCAACGCAGGAATTGTGCTGGAAATTGTCCGCGCATCCAAGTTACACGGCATCAACTTTGAACGCAACACCGTTGCGCTGAGCGAGGTCGTTGTTGCGAATCGTTCTATGTGACATCATCTTTAGCCTGACATATCTTCACAATTTCGCGCAGAATCAGACGCAAAAACCAGTTTGATTAACCAGTTCATTCTTTAATTGATTGACGATAGTCGGTAGAGTTTTTATTTTTATATGGATCTTAGAGCAAGCGTGATCTTTCCGAGCGTTGCTTTCGCTGCTTAGAAGGGCGCTCCGGAAAATATCCAGAAGTAAGGGGAAAAATAATGTAGGCGGCAGCATGTTGGATGGAAAGGTGCTTTTATGTTGGGGGTAGGTGTGGGAATAGGAATGATCCCCTCCCTCTCCATTGAAGGTATCTGGGGGCCTGGTAACAATTTAGAATTGTGGGCCTTGAAAAGTGAATTTCAGTGCATTTAGCGCGACCAGGGAAATAATGTTAGCCATGAGGATAGCATCTTTATTTACCCACATTTGGTTATACTTTAAATCTTGTTTCCTTTCATCCAACGAAGTGTGCGAAGCAAATGCGATAAATTTTTTATCCTCAGTCTCCTTAAAAAAGAAAATATATATTTTTTTTTTCTGTAAATAGTGGCGCTTGTTCTTCCTTTATTCAACTTTATGACTAGACGACGATATTAGCCGGTCGCCGGAACTTTTGGAGAACCCCGTTAAATCACAGAAGCACCAAAGCATGTTCGGACTAAACAGATTTCATAAATTACCTCAGCTATTTGGGCAAATTGTAAAAGTTCTCGACCGTCAAAATGTTATTCATCACCAAACTTAGTCAAATATGAGTTTTGTAGCAAAAGGTACTCCACGTTAGAAAGGCTTGTGTTTTTAATGAAGCATTTAAATGCTGCGAGTCTGAACACAGCACTAGTGTACATCTAATGGCGACGGGGGGGAGCATACCACTACCCAGGAATCTGGAGCAATCTTGTGAGGTCCCTGCCTTTGCGCATTGACTTACGGGGCTTAAGAACTTAGTTTAGTGTACTGTAAACTAAGACTAATTTACTGTGCAATTTTCAAACTTTACATCGCCCGTTTCACTGGTATTATCACAAATAGGTATTTCAGTAAAAGATTTAATCGTGGTGTTGTTCCGAGTTACTCTTGCCGGCTCCAGGAGATTAAGGCCAGGACAGAATACTAACCGACATTTTTCTGGTTTGGTCGCTTGCGGCTTGTATTCAACGAGATTTTATCGTTTCCCTTCAAGATTTAGCAATTAAGTTACATTTTATTTGGTTATGGTTTTGTGTCTGAGAAAACTGTAAAACTGCGATAAGGTTTTTCATTCGATTACAAACTAAGCTTAGCAGCATAGACGAGAATTAACTTAAATCTATAAAATTCGCACTGATCGTTGCGTAAATAAGGCCCTTAAACTTGAAAAGTGTGGGTGTTACACACGATGGTACAAATGGTCTTAGTGCGACCATATCAGTCGGGCGTTTAAGAAAATACTGTGGTCTGATGAAAAATTTGAAGTATTTGCGAGAACCCAGTAGGTCTTCAGTTGTTCGAAAAAATCATGTAAACAACCGCAACCCAACAGTAAGCGCGTCGTGTGACTGTTTTTCCTGCCAAAAAAGGAACTTACAAGACCTCTCCACGTGCGTAACAGGGAACTACATTTTGAGTGATGTGAGAGTGTTCGCGGCAATTCGATCACAGTTGATGCACGTGACCTGACACTGTGCGTGACGCACTTTTAGGGTCTGCTTACACCATAGCGGTCCACCATGGGTTAGTGACATCAACCACGTCAATTATCAAGCTGCTAGAAGAGCTTTGACAACTGGTTAGTAACTGTTTAAGTCTTTTTTATCGCTAACGTAACTAATACGACGTAGGAAGTATGGCAGGCAACCCGTCCAACTTATCTTTTTCGCTCCATTCTGTACAGTAGAGAAGAGAAAGTGATGACGTCACAAAAATCAAATTGGTGAAATTATGGGATTTGTTGGCATATTTTGTAAGAACAAGATTTTTTTGTTTTGCTGTTTTTTATTTCATTTATTCCAAGGTACAACAATTACAACAATTATCACATAGCATACATGCACACACGGACTACACACCTAAACACACATGCAATCATACAATCCTGACCACATCAGCCTATTCCAGTGCTATGCCTTTATTATTTAACAAGTGCTATAGTGCTTTTCGAAAAAAGAACAAACTTAATAAATTACTTACTAAGTCCACATGTATAAAAAGTTTTGTAAAAGAAGAAATAAATTAGATTACGAAGTCCACTTGTCGATTGGTCTTTGTAAACTCTTATTCTTAGTGCAGAAGTAGATTTTTCTGTTTCATGCTCAATGTTTACTCCAATTACAAAACTGTCTATGTTAGGAAGCACTTAATTTCTTCTACAACTCCATAAATATATTTTCCCCACGCGTATAAGATAGTTACGTAAGCAAGGGGCATTCAGAAGTTAAAATGTCAATCAAAATTTCCTTTAAATTTACGTGAACTAGTTGTTTTCATAGCACAAAATAATAAGATTCAACACATTTCCAAAATGAAATGAAAAGAACGAACAAGATGAAGAAAGCCCCCTAGGTAAAAATCAGCTTGTTAGTGGACATTGGTGAAGAGATATAAGCACCATTCTAATGACTGCATACAAAGCCTTCTAAAATAGCCCGAGATCGTAACCTTACAATCCAGGGCTATTTTAGAAGGATTTCTATGGAGTCATTGGAGCATAATGGCGCTTATATCTCTTCACCAATTTGCCCCAACCTGCATATTTTTTAGCAAGTTGACATTTTTTCATCGTGTTCTTTCAGAACATGCCAGCCTATCCCATGATTTCACAAATTTAGTTTTAATGATATCATTACTTCTCTCCTCTCTACTATGACATCTCTTCACCATCACACGTTCGAGATGCGATGGCGGGTCGTGGCGTGCACCAACCCGGCCAGAGTGTTTAACCCCCCTCCTCCCTTTCCAGCCTCTTATCTCCAGCACTAGTCCCTCGTATTCAGTTACATTGTTGCTGTTTTTCTTTTTTTTTTTTTTTACACGAGTTTAAAGAAAGCCGTCTGTTATTCACTAGTGGTGTATTTTTGTGCACTTAAGTGGGTGGAACCCATTTCCATCTATAGCCTGCACATACTATGTTATTCTGCTAAATTGTTGTATCGTGTTGCTTATCGCTATATTTCCTTTCATTAGTTCATGGCGTGCAGTCAGACATGACTCGTTATGGGTGTAGTATCCCTGTGACACTAGCCCTGCAGAATGCCCTGCAAAAGAACATTGTTCTCCTTCCAATCGGCGCGTGTGATGATGGAGCGCACTCCCAGAACGAGAAAATTAACAGTGTAAATTACGTTCAAGGGGTAAGTTTTGCTCGCCTTCTGCTCATGAAAACAATTTTAACAATGCTTCCGCATGTTGGAAGAGAGATAGTGTCGCAACACATCAGTTGAGGGAAATGTTCGCTGTTGCGCTGATACTCTTTAATTCGTGCAATGCATGACGATTTCCAAATTGCTGAAAGCAAGTGAAAATGTAATTCGTTATTTTCCTCTTTTTCCTTTGTAGACTAAATCTTTGATTGCGTACTTGGAAGAACTGGGCCAACTTGCTGACCGGAAGTAGACATTGAATTGTTTTTTTAATATTTGTTTGGTTTTCGGTGATCGCACCTAGGCTCTCTTCATGGTCTATGGTTTGCTAAATTCACTTTATTGTTGAGGCAGAATTGTTTACTCTTTCTATCTTTACCTGCTCCCCTTTTGGTGTAACATGGGCACTCCTAGCAAGTATCCTAAACGGTGTCTGTATGGTGCCTTGTATCGCTTCGTGATTTCGGTAGGCGTCAAAGTCTTAGTAATCTCCTACTCTTCCGTTCTTCGTCTCGACACGAAAGTTTCCTCTTGAAGCTATGTTAAAACGAACAACATGTGTTGGAACATTGCTGCAAAACGAGTCCAATAGCGATGTTGTACGTTTTACCACTCACTAGTCAGGTAGGGGTGTTGCAAGTTGCGTGAATACTAAATTCTGATTGGATAAAATTACGCGGAAGTCACTCCATACACGGGAGTTAGGTCACTTGCTGCAAAACAAGTTTGCCTTGGGTCGGTAAATAGCGCAACATGTACAGCAAAAGGCACAACTCCTCTCTACTTTCTGCAACAGACTTTCGCAACCTGCAACAACCTGAACGTGGTTGTAGTATCATATTGATACAGTACAGATCATTTTCACTCACGTGGTCGGCAACGTTTTTTAAAGAAAAGACATTTTTTACGTGAGAAGAAAAGAGTCCAATCCAAGTCCCAGAGGATTTTTGAGGTCACCAACATGGCCGCTGTTTCATTGCTTTCAGTGGTACATTAGTAGGAAGCTTAAGCAACGACGACAGTGACGGCAACGAGGACGGTAAAAAAGCGAGAGGGTTAGATTGGCAAAACAACAACTTTGTACGTGGATCACGCTGTTTTATACATTTCTTTGCCGTCGTTGCACGACTACGACGTGAAACTGCAGGTGTGAACACAAGACAACGACCCTCTTTTTCTTTTCCTGAACTCTAATACAGTCCTTTAGAACTCAACTCCAGAAAGATTCGCCAACATCTGATGAATAGAGCGAGATAGAATAAGCGCGATAAAGTTTAAACCAGCACGAACATACTTTAAAACTGACGTTTTCTTGGCCGTCGCCGTCGTTGTTGCTTAAGCTCCCTAGTATGGCCGCCATGACGTCACGTGAAAACCACCTATTAAGTTTCCCTTTAACGGACAGGGGTCCGTTTGGAAGACCTAGGTAAGAGGCGCAGGTAAAAAGACTGAAGAATGTTATGGACCAACTCCAGGAGGTCTCCGTTAAGAGAGAGTTGACTACACTAGCAGTGCGTTGTAAGCGAGAATAAGAATTCTTTTCCCGTTCGGGTTCAGTTAAAGAACAGGAGTTTTCGAAAGCTTTGTCTCCGAGTACGCACTTGTGTCAACGGAAAAACACTTTTCCATAGGGCATCAATATTTTAGTCGTGTGTTAAAAGTTAATATTAGTATTTTCGAAATACGAAGTTCATTGAAAATCCTTATTTAACTGATCTCACTGTAAATCATATAATATATAGAATATTTTTTTAATTAAAAGTGAACTTATAAACTCATAGCGTCAACTGTTTGAATACATCCCCGATATTGAATCAGTTGTGTCGGCGTGATTCAGCATTGTCAACACAATCTTCAAAATACCGGGTGAGACGACGCTATTGTCATAGTGTCACAGGTCCTAGCTTGTGTTCAGAGCTGCTGGCCAATTTTTTCAAGGGAATCTCGTTATATGAGCTTCCGCTCGTCGTTTTTTTTCCTTTTTCGGTTCGGGGGCAGGGTCTGGGTACACGTAGGCTATGTGTGACTAGTTGTTGTGCAGCAAGAAAGTCAACGGAGAGAGAACTGACTTGTGGCATTTTGCGTCCATCTGCAAAATTTAACTCCCGCAAGAAATTTAGTTTCTCATGTTCACAAGGGAACGGTAGCAATCATTTTTCGCGGTAATTGTCGCAAACAAATTCCTCGCACGAGCAGAGTGTTGATTTTGATTTCTTTTCTTTTCTTTTTTTAACGCCTGCTTGTCACTGAAAGGAGACGTCTCTCTCATTTATTCACTAGGCATATAATTCATTGCGCATATGTCACTTATCGTTGCAGTATGCTGGATGTTTGTCGCGTGAACCAAGTTCCTCCAACAATTCTCTATTAACTCAGTGGTAGAACATCTGGACTAGTTGTTTGAAGGCCGATAGCGCTTAAGCCAGGGCTAAATTTAACCCGGGTGTCTATTTCTTTTGTTCAAAAGCATTTTCTCGGATAATTTTCTCTGTTATTTTGAAGAGCATCCAATCATCAACTTGTTGACAAAAAGAATAAAACTGAAATTACTTCATAAGCTTTCATATCTGAATTCAAATTTCGCACTAACCTTGGGTTATCTTAACCCAGCTTTGAACAACTCGGCCCTGAAGGTCATATGCTTTCGATTCGTCTTTGTCACTCACATTTTGCGTCTTTCCTTTCAGCGTGATAATGGGACATGGAGGTCGGCCATGGGTGAGTTATTACAACCATGCTAACTACCAAGCAGCAAGGAGGGCACTCAAAACAGGTTCGTCTTAGGCCCCGTTAATATGGAGAAAACTTGTCTTGGTAGAGTGGTCATTCACCTACCCGAGCTACCCTGGCGAGCCAACTTGCAAACCTCGGCGAAGCGTTACATGAGACCGTTTACACGAGAAACAAAGAGATGGCTCGGCTAGGAGGGTGATTCGCCTATGAAAATACAGTAGCATGGAAGGAAGGCAGGAGTCATGGATGAGAGGACAACAGACGTGCCCTCTTTACAATATATATTAACATGTGAACAGTAAGCTTGGACGTCAGAATACAAAGGCTTTACTGCCAGCCGCCCTCAGTCCATTTATGAGCTTGCTGTACCCACCCAACCCATTATGTGAATGATGTGAATGATGTGATGTGTGAAGCTTGACCACACCTCCTGGTCTACGTCCCCTACTCTTTTGGAACAGTGGTGTGGGTTCTTTTACGTCCCATAAGAACCAGATAAGTGTATTGGTGTGAGATGGGACCTACCTACTGTATTCTTCTCTTCTTTACTGCAGTGTTTGGAACTGACCCCGACATGACTCGTGAAGGTGGAAGCATCCCCGTTACTTTAACATTGCAGGAAGCCACTGAAAAGAATGTTGTGCTTCTGCCTTTGGGTGCATGCGATGATGGCGCGCACTCGCAGAACGAGAAGATGGATCGAAAGAACTACATAGAGGGAGTGAGTATCTTTGTGATATTCAATGACGACATGCTTTATATCTCCTAAAACCATCTATAAGATATCTGTACATGCCACTTTGTACGGTAAAAGCTAACTCGGTATAAAATCCCAAGTGTTAGGTCGCAACCAGTTGGTGACCCCCTCCCCTCCAGTAGGACCTTTTCTTTGGAAATAAGTCTTTGTTTATCAGCAGTTGGTGACCCCGTCCCCACCTCC